ATCCTTTCCCCCTTTGTTTATTGCCACAACCCATTAGCCAGAATTCCCCCCAAGCTAACCCCAGCCCCCAAAGCCACCCAGCCACAACACCGTGAATTCCTCAGGGAGGTGCCAGCTTCATCCTCTTGAACTTCCCATACTCCTCTGGCGAACTAAGAACACGCTTATCTCCCTGAACCTGGCCTTCATAATTCCATTCCATCACATGGCCCCATTCACTGTTGTTTGGAGGGCAGACTTTGGGACTCTGCTGAGGGCTGAAGGCATCTTGCAGAATGCTAAGTTACAGGTGAGGAAAGGGGGTTGTGGCTTAGTGCAGCATGTGAATTTTGTTTAAGATGCACTGGATGTTCGCTTCCAATCATGGTGAGAGTGCTGCTAAAGACTCTCCAAATCTGAGCCTTGTGGAGGTGAAGATCCCCCTCCCTGCATTCTTTCTGCCCACCTAGGACGTTCCTGCAGAGTGGGTGCGCTCCGGTCCCCTCCATTAAACTTTGCCGTCTGGGGGATCTAGGAAGCCTGCCTTCTCTGTTGCGGCCCCCACCCTCTGGAACAGCCTCCCCCCAGAGGTAAGGAGGGCGCCCTCTCGCCCGGGGTTCCGGAGCGCCTTGAAAGCCTGGCTTGGGTCCCAGGCCTGGGGCTGATCTTTGTTATTTGTTCAATGGCCCCTGCTTTGTGTTGCTGTTTTTGCCTCTATTAGATTATTTTAGCCTGGGCTGCCTGCGTGATTCAACGTTATTGTCTGTTTTTATGTTTCCCCTAGTTTTGTACGCTGCCAAGAGTCCACTGGAGTTGGGCAGCCAATAAATAAATATATAAACAAACAGATAAATAAATAAAATGCTTTCTATCAGGAAAGGCTTGCTGTGAATCTCCCCTTGGCCTGAAGGAACAGCTAGCAAGTTGTAAGCTAGGATTTTGCCATGGAGGCACCTGCTCTGTAGAGCAGCACGCCCAGTGGGGTTCTCTTGTCGCCATATTATACCTTTTGGAGTGATATAAAATTCTGCTTGTCCTTGGAGGCTTCCTTGCTGACTAATTCAGCTCAGTTACTGCTCATGACAGAATCTGATCATGAATTGCTTTATTGGACTTTTTTTTTAACGATACCTTTGTTTTCTGTGTGACACTCAGAAGTTCAGAAGTATAGCATCCTTCAGCCCGAGCACAGATAAAGTCTATTCGTGTTGTTGCAGATGTTCATTTCTAGCAGATTTAGTAAGTTGCTGGCTAGGGGTATGCGTGGAATGAAAAATGCGTTTGGTTTTGTTCCAAAAGCTCTCCTGAACCCTTCGGGTCACTGTTGTTCTTCTGTGCGAAACACACCTTGTGGGGGTCCCGGGTTTCGAGGAGCAAGTGCAGCAAGGCTGATGCGTGTTGCTCTCTTGGCAGCTCCTGGCCCAGCATCTCCCCTCCTGCCCTGGTTCCCCCCGGCCTCCCTTCAGGCCTTGTGGGGCTGCTGACCCAAATGCCTGTTTCAGGTTTAAGCGCAAGCTACCCGAAACCAGCTACCCCACATGCAAGACAGTTGGTTCAAGACTTGCACGCGCCCTTTGCTGGCTTGGCTGTCTTATGGGTTATTAGAAGGGATTTAGTACAGTAAAACTTAGATTGTTTACAGACCTTGGATGGGAGGAAAGGGACCCTGTGGAATGTCTGTTAAATTGAGGGGTCATTTGTGTACATTTATATCATGTGCATGTGTATGGAATTGTGAAAATGATGCGAATGTACACAAATGATGTAAAATCACATTAGGCGATCATGCCCATTATTTTGTAGATTGCATCATGGGCATGGTCGCGTAATGTGATTTTACATCATTTGTGTACATTCACATCATTTTCACAATAAACCACAATTTTACACATGCCCAAAGGTGGTCTGTTACCCCTAGAAGCATGTGGACTTTGTCCGTGATATGGAGGAATATCTGGATCCAGATTTCATCTGTAAATCTAAATGGAGGTCCACTAAATCAAGGCTTTGCTGTATATGTCTGCAAGAGGAAAGATTTGTTTGGAGACATGCTTAATTTCCTGGAAATTACTGTCAATGTAATCAAGTTGTGTTGCTACTTCTGGAGAAGAAGAGGGCCCAGGAAGGGTTCGTTCAAGGCTAACCTGTCCTTTCCCTTTTGCAAAGGATTTTGTCTTCTATGCCCCCCGGCTAAGGATTAACAAGCGCATCCTGGCTCTATGCATGGGGAACCATGAGCTCTACATGCGCAGGCGCAAGCCGGACACCATCGAGGTGCAGCAGATGAAGGCCCAGGCCCGCGAGGAGAAGCATCAGAAGCAGATGGAGAGGTGGGTTGGCTGAGCACAGGTGGTCCTTAACTGCCCTCTGGGTGGGCCTCTCTGGCCAGGGCTGAGTCATGGGCTGGGATGCAGATTCTTCTCACGGGCACATTCTGCAACTGGGATGTGGTTAGAAGACTCAGACCCCCAAGTTGCAGGTAGAGAAGTTGTTGAAGTGTCATGGGTTTAGGAATCAGCCCTTGTCTTAGTGATGCTGCAAGGAGAGTGGTTGCTAACTGTTTGGACGCAGGGTCCAAATGATGATAGCAATGAAGTGTGGAGGGGAATGTCCCAGTGGGCTTTTCTGTGGTGGAGGGTTCAAGTACTCCTGTTTCTTAAGCGGGGGGTTTTCAAAGTTTCTTCAAGGTATGTTTGAATAAAACCTCTGTGTAAAGGCAACCTGCGCTCTATCTCATACTGGAATAATTCTGTACAAAAGCATATTCTTGCCTCTCAGGGATGTCAAGCAAATTGTGACAGATAAAGTCATTCTTCCCTCCTCCCCTCTCTTGCAGTCTGAGGCACGTGTGGTCAAGGCAGCATGGGCTGCTTTCCTTCCCACAGTATACCCTGGCGGTGGCATTATGCCAAGCGAAGGTTTAGGGACTCCTGGGATCTCCTGATATAGCTTAAATAGACTCAGCCAAGGACTCTTCCTTGGTGCCCCACCATCACCAGCGAAGAGTTCTCCTGGCCCTGCCAGGGGAGATGATGGGGCAGTGGGATTAAAGAAGGGAAGTGATCCGCCTCTTCCAAGCAGGATCCTTAAAAACTCCCTCAGCTCTTAAAAATGTGGAAAAAAATCTCTTGGGGGAACTCACAGATACACAGTCTTCCAACCCATATTTTAGTTTGAGGTATGCAGATTAGGCTGTTGGCTTGAAAAATTTGGATGAAGCAAGTTCTCCCTTTCTTCCTTTCAGTTTGCTTAGAAGTCACTAGAGGTGTTCAAGCAGAAGCTGGAGGCTCACCTGTCAGAAGCATGTAGTGGATCCCGTACTGAGCAGGTGGTTGGACTAGATGGCCTCTGAGGCCCCTTCTGACTGTGATTCTGTGACTGGGTCTATGTAGAAATTGTAAACCAAAAGCCCTGAAGATTTAGGGAGGCTGAGCAGCCCATTTTTTGGAAAGGAGCACTGAAATTAGCCTGCTGTGTGTTTCTTTCCCTCTCAGGGCTTTGCTGGAGAACGAGAAGAAGAAGAGGGAGATGGCGGAGAAGGAGAAGGAGAAGATTGAACGTGAGAAAGAAGAGCTGATGGAGAAGCTCCGGCAAATTGAGGAGCAGACTAAGAAAGCTCAGCAAGGTAGGAAGAATGTTTGCTTCAGGATGGAGCCTGTGGGGAAGGAAAGCTGTTCCAGGCAGGGAGAAGACGTGACTCTCTTGGCCTCTTTCTCTAGAACTGGAGGAGCAGACTCGCAGGGCCCTGGAGTTGGAGCAGGAAAGGAAGCGAGCTCAGGAAGAAGCGGAGAAGCTGGCCAGGGAGCGGCAGGAAGCCGAGGAGGCGAAGGAAGCCTTGCTGAAAGCCTCCCATGATCAGAAGAAGAACCAGGAGCAGCTGGTAGGTTGCTCTGGGGAAAGCTTAGCTTCTGTCTCGGGCAACCGTGTGACTCTGGTGGTGCTTCCGAGCTGCCCAAATGCCAGAAAAGCCTCTGCCAGCAGAGCAACCTGCATTTGGTGGTGGACAACAGGAAGGTCAACTCTGCAGTCCAAGGTGGCCAAAGGCGAAGTGCTGCTGTGCTTTGGAGGACAGGGACGAGGGTGGCCTGATGGAGTAGAGCAGAATGGTGCAGTGGGGGGCTCCAGGGTTGTGCGTGTCCTTGAAAGGCTGGAAGGTATCCCCAAAACCTCTTGAAAAGTTGCCACCATAGTAGAATTTTCAGCATCAGGCAAATGGAAAATGATTCCTCCTGTACATTTTATCATATGTTAATGATACTACCATTAATTTGTCTCATTGAATTTAAGCTTAAATGCCGTTTTCATCCAGGCCCCCTCCCAGCTTTTGGAGGGCAGCCCCTGTCGTGCCTTCCACAGATGGCCACAGCCCAGGAGAAGGTGCACTTCCCGGGCGTGGGGCACACAAAGACCAAAAGGATAGAGCCCCTCTGTTGTGAGTCACGGGAAAGGCAGGAGGCCCCCTTTTCCCTCGGGCCAGCTCAGGCTTCCCACTCCATCTCCTCCCACCAAAGGCTGCAGCTGACTGTAAGGCCCGGCCCCTTCCTCTCCGGCCCTCAGGGTGGGAGGCCTTTTCTGGACACCGCTAGGGTGAAACCAAAGCAAGCCATGTCTGTGGTCCATGGCACGCTGCTCTTGCAGACAGATGTGCTCCTGCCTTGGGAGGGAGTGTGGCTTTCCCTTTTGCAGAATTGGGTGTCGTCTCCATCCACATGCAAAGCAGACCTCCAACCTCAGAGAGCAGTGCAGGTTCTGAACCTTTCCAAAATCTTTCTTTTCTGGGGGATTCCTCAGAACCATTGTTCTGCAAGGGGTGCCTAAGCTACAACGGCCTTTTTCAGCCTGCTTCCCACCAGATACATGGGGAAGGGAACTCCCCAAATCCCTGCCAGTTCTCATCCCCGTGTACTTGGGGAGCGCCATGCTAGGGCCTCTCTCCCTCCCTCCCTCTTCTCCTCAAGACTTTGGCCTTCTCGTAGACTTATAAGGCAGGTCTATTCTGAGGTTAGAACTCTGCAGCTGAGCAAACGTAGCAAAAGAGCTTTGGAAGTAAGACCAGTGAAATGAAATGAAGGGAGATGCAGGAAATGCTTTTTTTCACAGCTCGTTGCCGGCAGCTGTGGTTTAGCGGCTAATCTGGATGACATTAAAATGGGAGCGGACAGATTCATGGAAGGTCAGGCTCTCCATGGCTGCAAATATGGAGGGCTCTGACTAGTTCCTGAATCATGGCCTGAAAATACTGAAGGTCGAGAAGCAACCAAGGAAGGGACTTCTCAGATGCACGCTGGTGACACCAAAGGCTGGAGTAGATGGCCTCGGGCCTGATGCAACAAGACTCTTCCTACATTCTTTCTAAGCTTACAGACTTTTGACTGGTGATGCTCTGTTCACTTTGCAGACCACCGAGATGTTGGAACTGACCACCAGGATCTCGCAGCTGGAAGTTGCTCAACAAAGAAAAGAGAGCGAGGCTCTGCTGTGGCAGCAAAAAGTGAGTGTTCATATATTTGTTTATTTTATTTATTGATCATATTTATATAGCGTTGCCCTTCCAGCAATCCTTCCCTCTCCTCTGCACTCTGTCTGGCTTGCCTGCCCAAATGTCTCTTGGGGGAGGGGTGCTGATTAGTTGAAATAACTTTCAAAGAATGTCCGTTTTTGTTTCAGAGAAATGGGAGAACCAAACCCTGTTTCTAGGGGGTGTCCAGCCAACCCAAGCAGTTGCTGGTGGTTTGCGCACGCAAGGGTCACTTCATGTTCTCCAGACTCTGCTCTCTCTCCTAGTCATGCGTTGCTTTGACTCATTCACCGGAAAAACTTGCTTGTCCTTCTGGGGCGAGGAGCACAAACAAAGACTCTGGACACCTCACAAAAGCCCACGGAGGCCTACAGGCCCCGGTGAACTTAGCCCGCTTGCCCACACGAAGTACTAGCTGTAGCGGTCAGAAAGTTGCATTCTCAAAGCAAAAAGAGAGTAGCCGTATCCAGTTTGTACAAACATTCTGTCTTGGCTCTGTTTGGACCCTGGAGAATAGCGCTAGAAAAAGCCCCATCATCATCCAAAGGGCAAGATTGCAATGAAATGTTAGGGGAAAACCTTCCTAACGCAGTTTGCCAGTAGAAGGCGTGGCCGGAGAGGCGGTGGGCTCCCTCTTGGTGAACATCTTCAAGTTAAGGTGGGACCCAATCTGGATGCTTGAATTTGGATTCCTGCTCTGGCGGAGGGGGAAACTGAAGGGCCTCCGTGACCCTTCCAGTCCTAGGAGTTTGGGACGGTGAAAAACACAACGTTTCTCTTGGGCAGACAAACCCATTAACCTGGCAGTGTGGTTTTATCTCTAATTGCCAGGAAAAATGTGTTCCCTTTTAATTCGATTAAACAGTACTGTTACCAGATCTTGGTCATTTTTACGCGTAGCCTTTTTTTTTTTTTAACAGTTTGTAATAACCTGAAATCAGGCAGAGAAATTTGGCTCTTGGTGGATTAGAATGTAAATAATGAAAACAATTTGACCCGAGGCCAAGTTGTTACAGATGCATAAGTCTTTTCCGAGGGAACCTTAGCAAGAGGTATCAAACGGGCAGCTGGGAGCCCTTAATATTTTGGCCGGCGGTAGAATTCCAAAGGTACTCATGGAAGCACCGCTTCATTTTGCCCGTTGACTCCCGCTGTTTTTTAAAGGAATCCGAGGTATCTTTTGGGCGCAAAGTTCCACGTGCGCGTGGCTTAATTTGTTCTGGAACTTTCTGGCCAAGCAAAGAGTTTTCCGGCATTGCTCCTGGGAGGCCGAAGTGTATATGGAAACGGGAAGCCGATGCATTTTTGCTTTGCATCCCGACTCCTTCTTGGGCACCTTTTTCTCTTGGATCTTGTAAGTCATCGAGGCAAAGCGCTTCCAGCGCATTTCCGTCCCCTCCTGGCCGATGCAGCGGCCGCCCCCCAGCCTCTGCCCTCTCAGCCCGAGCAGGCTTCTGGAGGCCCGTCCTCAGCTGCCCTCTCCCTTCCAGGCCCAGTTGGTTCAGGAGGACCTGGAGAGGACCAAAGAGGAGCTGAAGTCCGTCACCAGCACCCCGCACGTGCCTGAGCCCATGCAGTCGGAGAACGAGCACGACGACGAGCAGGACGAGAATGCAGCGGAGGCCAGCGCGGAGCTGCGCGCACACGCCTCGGCCAAGGACCGCAGCGAGGAGCAGCGTACCACCGAGGCCGAGAAGAACGAGCGGGTTCAGAAGCACTTGAAGGTGAGCGGCCTCCCTGCCCAGGGAAGCCGGGGGACCGGGGAGAAAGCCCAGGAAGGGCCGGGGCAAGGCGGGCCATCAATGAGACGAGAGGTGGGAGGGAGGCCGCAGGTCTTCGGAGACCCCTGGGTCCACCCCGTGAACATAGGGCAGGGGCAGGCCGCTTTTTTGCAGTTGGGTCTTTTTGAAAAAAAGAAAAAGAAAAAGAAGAAGGAAAGTAGCATTCTGGTTCTGGATCCCCAGGAAGCATGGCAATTGCGTGCGCCGTTATCAAAAGAGGCTGGTTGGGATTTTCAGCCTTTTTGTAAAAAAAAGTCAAATGCTGTTTTAGGGTGGTTTTTTTGTTTTTTTTTGTGAAAAGAGAAGGGGGAAAAGCATATTGTCATACTATTGGCTGCTGAATTTCACCAACATAGCCTCGGCATGGGGGTAGGACCTGGGCGCCTAAGAATTGCCCTGCCCAGTCTAGGCAGTGGGACTGCAGCAGCAACATGCTGCCCACCCCACTTTCTGTGAGCAGCTGCCCCCCGTAGGTCATGGGGTCGAGGTTCTCACTCACAGGGACGCCTTCTCACACTTGTGCATTTACACAATGTCCTTGATGTTATGGGAAGGAGGAAGAAACCATCCAGGCGGCTGCTTGGAGGGAAGGCAGGGAGTCTTGGGGGATGTCTGCTCCTCCTCCAGCCTCCTTCAGCCTGGGATCCCTGAGATACGCCGGACTTTAACTCTCATGTCCGTTTCTGTCTGGGGCGGTGGAAACCGGAGGTCGTCAGATGGGAGGCGGTCAAGGTAGTGTGCTCTGCCCGCTTGAGCTCGGGTAGCATCAACTGGGCCTCTGTTGCGCTTCAGTTGCCTGAATTAATTTCCCCGCCGCTCTATTCTAGCAAAAGGGGAGGGGAGATGCCATGTCCCTTTAGACGCCCAGGCTGCCAATCCCCTTTTAGCCAACCGTGTTTCTGACAGCAGGAAACAACTCTTGATCATTGCACTGTGGTAGGATCCAGGGAAAGCATAAATGAGGCGAGGCCTTACGCCGAAAGGAAAACAGGAACCAGCCCCAGGCTAGAAAGGTCCTGGACTTGTTTCACCCGGATGGCGCTCACGCATCGGGTGGCTGACGTTCCTCCTTCTCCCTTGCTGCCCCTGCAGGCGCTCACATCCGAATTGGCCAATGCGCGGGATGACACCAAGAAGACGGCCAACGACATGATCCACGCAGAGAACATGCGGCAGGGCCGTGACAAGTACAAGACACTCCGCCAGATCCGGCAGGGCAACACCAAGCAGCGCATTGACGAATTTGAGTCCATGTAGTCATTCCAGCCTCTGCTGTACCTCCCCCCTCCCCCCCTCCCTCCCTCTGTGTGCAAATGTGCGATGCTGGAACCGCTACAGGAGCGTGAACAGGTCAGCCTCCTGTGCTGATCTCCAAAATAGGACCAAACAGGAAGAAAAAGCAAAAGTCAGTTGTGCCTTATTATTGCAGTTTTCTGACGGCTGTGGCCTGCCTCTGTTTAGGGCGGGTGACAAGCTTAAGTATCATACGCTTTCTATTGCTTAGAATAAGTGCATTAGTGCTGCTGCCGCCGCCGCCACCAGAACAGAGTTTACGGTGGGGCCAATGTCTAACCGAGGGCCTCTCCCCACCTCTAACCTCACTTGCCAAGGCCGGAGAGCCAGGGCCTGGCTCAGTCCTAACTAGGCAGGGGCCTCTGCTTTTAAAGATAGGCTGGTTTTGATGCTCTGCTTGGGAAGAAGTCCCTGTGGAGAGAGAGAGCACCGAAAGGCGACTGCAAATGTGCCTTTCCCCCCTCTTCGCACCAAAGAGCAAAATGTTCAGCAGACCAAGCAAGTCCCTCTGGTCTTCTTAAATTTTTCCAAGTACTCCTTACTAAGAGGTTGAACAAAACTGGACGCTTCCCTTCTTCCCATGTTATGAGCGGATTTGCCACAGAATTGTCGTCTTCCCCAAAAGGAAAAAATTTGGCCACAGACCTGTTGCCACTCAGTTTGCCAACGTAGTCAGGCATTTCAGAGAGGTTTTGTGCCAGCCCTAAGCAGCGAGGCACGGCTGCAGAACTACACCACTAAGCTTTTTAGGGCGCATCTCCCACAGGCGCGTGCACACAGACATACCTTATGGTGCCTTAATGACACTTACACCCCCCCTTCCAGTAGCGTAACAGCCGAGGAAACGTTTTCTCATTTTCTTAGTCCCAGTGATGCAGAACCAAAAAAACCTCCCACAAAGATGTGTTTTGTGTGTGAATCTCCATGTTGCCAGCCATTTCTACTGTTAGGAAGTTTAGATTTGGTTTTCAAAAGGTGCCGTTTCTGCTGCTTTCTTGTGAGAAGAGGGCGGTGTGTCCTTGTTTCCAGACCGCTTCCCTCGGAGTGCCTTAAGCTCTTTGGATCTGGAGAAAAGAGGCGGTTTTGCTCGTAGGACCGTTCAGCTGTCTCTCGGTGGTTCAGCTGCTTGCCGGTTTGCTAGCGACCGTTCAAAGTAGCTCCCTTTTTAGGCCGACTCTGCTGTGGAGTTCCTGTCCTGGGACTGTTCCCATTAATGGAGGAAGGGTCGGACTTGGGTTGAGGACTGTGTCTTCTGCCTCCTCTCCCGAACGTCACGTTCATTCAAAGGAAAGCCATTCTACTCTTCTGCCCCGGGGCACCCTTGTCTTAGCACTCTTGGGCTCCTTCAAATCTTCCCCCACACTTGTGGCCTTTCTCTGCCTTCCTCCGGCACACACACGCACGCACGCACACACACACACACCCCAGTTTCTGCTTGCATTTATCCCAGAAGTGTTATTCTGAAACAGCACCAGATAGTGCTGGCTGCAGAGCGGGCAGAAGTCAACTCCACTAGGGTGGTGAGAAGACGTGCAGGGTTCCCGAGGGTTCCCACACTTGTTCCGAAGCACCCCGTCAAGTGCCGGACCTTTACCCTGGCCCGGGGAGCCAGGCCGCTTGCAGCGAGAGGCGTCCCAGTGCGAGCAGCCGCCTTTTCCGAAGACCCAGGCAGAATGCGCTGCTCCTCTCTGCCTCTGCCTCTCTCCCCTCCTTCCGACTGGGAGTGCCTTTGGAAAGTGACGGACGAGAGGAGGTGGCCAATCACCCCTTCCTCTTCCTCCTCCTCCTCCTCCCCCTCCCCTGAAAATACACAATGCCATTTTCTAAAGAAACCATTTTCTGGTTTCCACGCCCCAAAGAGCTCCTCCGAGTCACCATTCGAACTCGTGGTGCTGACTTTGCTCCTGGGCTATCTCCTTCCAGCCTAAGCTTGCCAGCGGCATGCTTGGAGTCACGGCCTTTTCCCCTGCGAAAGTGCCTCCGAGGTTGCTCTTGCATCGTCCCGGCCCTCGGGCTCCGGGGTGCCTCTGTCCAGTCCTTCCGGAACAGGACAAGCCCACCCGCTGGCCGCGAGTTCGCCTCCTGCGTAGTTGGTTCAGCTCTTCCCCGATCTTAACCAGTATTATGTATTCCAGTGACATCTAATGGTATTGATTTCATGCTCTTTTCTAGCTATGCATGATTAGAAAATATTAATCTCAGAAGTGTTGAGGGGGAAGGTAAATGTGTTCTCCCTTCTTCATAGAAAATGTATACTGTGTTGTAAAGAGATATTTTGCAGGAAATTAATGTAAGATGCATTCAGTATTACAATGAGATTTTTAGATTTTTTTTTTAATTATTGGGTTAGAAAACACGGAGGTTCTTTCTCCCTCTCCGCTCCCCCATTTGTTTACTGCTATACCTGGATAAATACTATCCTTATGGGGGAGGGAGTTTACCCGATTAATCTTTTTCTTTCTTTTTTTTGTCTGGCTTTATATTTGTGTTTTGGAATTTTTGCTGTAAATTATGTCTTCATTTTTGACCATTCTTTTTACATATTATGTCAAAACACCAGCCTTCTCAGGGGAGGGGGCCTGCAAGGTAGCCTGTGTAGGGAAGCGGAGACCCCCCGGACCCTTGCTGTTTGGACACCTGCTGTCCAGAGGTGTTTTATTAAATCCACCCTCTGTTCTTTGTATCAGTGCCAATAAAGTTTAGACCAAGGGAGGCGCCTCTGTGTTCCTCTGGCCTCTTCTCTTCTCAGCGTTTGCTTCCGAGTCAGCCTCCTCCAGGGCTGGATTTCGCAGCTCTTGCACGTAATGCGGGACGGATCTTTCAAGAAGGTGGGGAGCCCCGTGTGCCTAGAGCGGGGCCCTGATGCGAAGCTTCTCCTGCAGGGCCGTGGCGTCCTCCCGGAAGCTGCACGAGCAGAGCAGCGTCTCTGCTGGATGGGACAGCCTTGGGTTGCCAGAACTCAGAATGGAACTTGGCAGAGGGACGCTTCTTCAAAGAGTATTGCACTAAAGTAATCCCACTGAACCATATGTCCTCCCCCCACACTTCCTGTCATAGAGCAAGGCATGGAAGCACTTGATTATTTATCACCAACATCTGGTTCTCCAGCTGTTCACACAAGCTCGCTTGCAGAGGAGGAGGAGGAGGAGGAGGAGGAGGCGGGACAAATTGCACCGGCGCATCCTGTTCTCCAGGCACCCGAGCGGGAGGGTGGGGGCGTTCAGCAAATGTGCAGCTGACCTGACCATTCGGGTGGGGCTGGTGTGATCCCAACTTTAGGCACCCAAGTGAGGGGCTCGGCGCTCCCATGGGCTTTCGAGTGGCCATGCCCTCACCTGAGGAGGCCTCTGTATCTCTGCCATGGCTGCATCGTAGGTAGTGAATGGAAGAAGGTGCTAACTGTGCATTATGTGACTTTAGTTTTTCATTGGGGGGTTGTAAAGCTTTGGTTAGAAGTGGGCAAGTTTTAATTGCTGGGGGCCACAAAGCTTTTGGAGAGGTGCCAGGGGCGCAGTCAGTGGGCCTCTGTCCTGCATGAGGATATTTTTTCCCCAGTGTTGGGAGTAATTTGGTTTCTTTTCCATTTTTTGAGCCCACACTTCACTTTTTCTATATTTCCTCTCCTCCAAAAAGGCCGGTAACCTGCAGAGATTTTCAGCAAAGGCCTCCAGGCCTTAGGAGGCTCAGGACTGGGCATTGCTTGCCCTGCCTGTAGTGGGCTCAGCCTGTTCAAAGGGGCTCCATTAGAGGTTCTTCATCAAACTGGACTTGGTCCCTGGGCCCTTTATTCTTCAATATGTGTAATGGAGAGGCAGATAACAAATTTGCAAAAGAAATGAATGTGGGATAGCCAGGAGACAAGAAACATTCAAAATGGTCTTACAGGCTAGAGAACAGAGCTACAACAACGATGGCATTTTAAAAAGACACAGGCAAAGTTAAATAGAAATCAAATGCCTTGTTATAGGATGCGAGATAACTGATTTAATAATTGCACTAGGGAAAAAGATCTAATAGTAGTTAGAAGCAGAAATGAAAGTAGAAAAAAGGCTAGAAAAAATTCTCTAAGGAAAGACAGGCACGTTTAATGTTGAGAAAAGAAGGTGGTAGGCACAGCACATCAGTTTTTCAGGAACAGGAAACTTTAAAATGGTTCTTTAAGAATATCCAACCTTGGGCCACTAGAGGGCACTCTAAAATTACCTTTTACGTGGGCATTTTTCATACAAAATCAAGATTCTTTGTAGGTGAATTGCACCACTGTTGGACTGCTATCAGATGCATTTTGGAAACTCTCCTTCCCCTCATAGGGAGCACAAGTTCTTCAGGCAAAACTCCAGATTTATGCTACCAGCCTGTCTTTTCCTAAAGTTTTATTTTTTCAGTGCTTTCATGCTCCGTAAGATAATGAACTTTTTTTCTTCTGTACTTTTATTGTAATTTTGTATTATGTTTCTTCTTAAAAAACAGAGATACATTTAAATATCCCCCATTTAGAACATCAGCAGAAAAGTGAATTCAAGATCTCGGAATGAGCCGGCCCAAATAGGTGAAAGACTAGCCAGTTTGGTCTAGCGGTGAAGGTCCAGGCTGTGAGCTCTAGTCCCACCTGAGACATGAAAGGCGGCTGGGCGACTTTGGGCCAGCCCAACCCACCTCACAGGGTTGTGGTGGGGGAAATAGGAGGAGGGAGGAGCATTAGGTATGCTCGCTGCCTTGGGTTATTTATAAAAATAATAAAGGTGGGATAAAAAAAAAAATGCTTTTATTTCCTGACAGCCGCTAAATATATACATGCAAATACAAGACCAGAGTGTCCAAATCTGAACTGCCCCAACTTGGACAAAATTAACTTGGATACTGAAGGAGATGTGGAATACAAAATGCTGTTTATCCTAACCAAACCACACCAACCCATCTCTTCCTGGCTCTATTTCTATAATGCAGATACCACTAACGGGGCGGATTTGGCCTGCTTTACTGCTTGTGCTATAGGCAATGTCCCAGTTAAGTGGGAATGTTTACAAAGTCCATGCAAATCCATTCCCAACATTTTCTATACAATACCTGTCTCTGCATCTTCCCATATTTTATGTTGCTGTCAAAAGTGCCCATGAATCTTTTGAAAAACGCTGCTCTCCTTCATCACATAGATTTTCCTGATGTAAGCTCATTCCAAAGCCATCACTGGTTCTGTGCCTTATCTGGTCAGATAAGCTAAGATCTGGGCTGATCTCTAGGGCATGGATAGGAGGCCACCAGGAATTCCAGGTCTGCTTGCTAGACTGCAAAGTTGGAGAAAAGCAGTGGGATGGGAAAACTGCCTGGATGTGTCCCTTAAATCTCCGACATTTTTTCATTGCCTTCTTTTTAGATGCAGTTCCTATCCTATCTTAGATAGGAAAGGCCTGGGCTGGAGCAAAATCCTGAAATCTGCCCCCCCCCACCGCCCCGGTGACACACAGCAGTTTTCTTGCTCACGCTGAGACCTTCTTCTGGGACCGGCTTCTGTCCCACTGATTTCCTCTGCTTGCTCTCAGCGTGGCTTGGCTTCCTCACTCCCATTTTGGCTATGGGGCTACTAGCGCCCGGTCTACCCACACAGCAAGTGGCTGAGCGCTGCTGCTGTAATTATTTGGGGTAAAAGTTCAACCAGGGTTCACAAATTCATGTATTAATGCTATGGTCATCCCAGTTTCCCCGTCAAACACAACAATCTTGTCTCGATAACATTAATTTTCAGCTCCATTCTCTTCGCTGCATCGTACGGTCTACCTAATGGTGACTGCAAATGTTTCTGGTTCTCAGCCAGGGAGGCGGTATCGTTTGCATACAAAAATATATGTACATTCAAGTCCCCAATGCCTCTAGCATCACCACAAGCATCCTTATACACTGATCTGTAAATACAGTAAAAAAAACCGAGGCGACATCACCCATCCTGGTCCCTACTCCTCGCTCAGCGTTCAATTATTCACTACGCTTTCCTTTTATTCTCATGCATGCGTATACTCCCTGATCACACTGAGCGACCAGCCTTCAACTCCACCTCCACGCAAGACATTCCATAATTCAAGCCTGTTGGCCAAGGATTTCACTGGCATGAAGAAAATGAACAGCGGCTGCACGTGACAAGAGAGTCCTTCCCCAACCCTCCTGGCCTCCATTCAGCATCTCTCTTGTTACTCACGGCATCCCCAGCCTGGCAGAAGGCCCGGCCGGTTTGCTTTTCAGCCTTAGCAGCCGGGGCGAGCGGGGCGAGGGGGCTAGTTTTCCATGCACACAAACTGGCCTGGAAATATTTATTTTTTTATTGATGGAAATAGACTAAAGGAAAACCAACGATCAGATGATTTCCTCTGGGAAATACACGCCTGTGACAATGTACGTTATTAGCAAGTACATCGCCTCCACCTCTTGTCTCAGGATAACTTAAAATTATTCAAAACCTCGAATCAGCCCCGAGTTCTCGTTTATCTATTTCAAGAGTGGGAAAAAGCTGTTAACTGGGGGGATACTCAAAAAGAGCAACTCGGGGAGTTAGGCTGAACTGGAAGAAGATCCCGGGCTTCAAGTCCCCGAATGTCATTGCCAAAGGGAATTTAAACGGGGGTGTTTCCTGCCTGGACCGAATCCTTAAAGAGCTTCAGTTCTGGCACTTCCCTGTTCAGGAGATCCCACTCCCCCCCCCCCCCCCACATGGCCATGAAGCCTAGAAACACAAACACTTCCAATGGCATGAGGGGTCCTGGGAAATTCTTCCAGGGCTGTGGGAAACCGATGGGGGGAGCGGGTAAGGATATACGTTCCCCCTACTCCACAGCTCTTGAAGAACACACCCTAACACGGCACCCTCCTTCTGGCGGTCATCCCTGACCGGCTACCGCTATCCCCACATTCCAGGATGGAGAGAGGACGCGGCTCGCCTGCCAGCGTCCTTGGCGCAGGCTCCATGCCGCATTTGTCTCCCGTATCTCTCCGCTCAAGGCTTGCCACGAGATGAGCAGTTTAGTGCTCCCCGACACACCCCTTTCTATAGGCTGACGCGATTGTCCAGGCCTGCACACAATGTGGAAGGAATTCATCCCTCTGCTCAGGGCAGCTGGGGAACCAAACCCTTGAAAAGCTGGCCAGGAAGTTAAAGGCTGACTTTATTCAGAACCTCGAATCAGCCCCGAGTTCTCGTTTACCTGTTTCAAGGGTGGGAAAAAGCTGTTAATGGGGGGATACTCAAGAAAGAGCAACCCGGGGAGTTAGGCTGAACTGGAAGAAGATCCCGGGCTTCATGTCCCCGAACCCAGGCTAGGTTGGGTTGATGGTGGTGCCGGGCACGGAGGAGCACAAGGGGGAGTTGGTGCTTCTCAGACACGGGTGGCATCTTATTTCTGACAGTAATGCAGAGATCAAAGGCAGTGCAGAACAGCCATTCAAAGTCTAAAGCGATGTAGCCACATCACCAGGGACCTCCGGGGTCTAACTTCCCCTTCTAAAATGGCATATTCCGCATCTTCTGGGCGATACAGATTGCATGTGTGCGTGGGGGCACGCACATTACCCACCGTTCCTCTCTTTGAACCTGCCCCCCACCCCAATCTCACTCTCTTCCAAACCAAGAAATCCGGATTGCCTCAAAGACCTCGGTGTGTCCAGAAGAAAACGCAGCAGCTTCTCCCGCCCTCACAGCAGGAGGAGGCATGTGAAGTGGGAAGTCCGAGCCGTAAATTGCACTGACAAGCCCCAGGGCCAAGGCTGCCAAGCTGTCTTTGCACAAAAAATGCATGCCCTCTTAACCTTTGCATCGCATGATAAGGTCGCTGCACTGCGGGCCTGACAGATGGAATTCTTGTCATGTTTACGGGCGGTTGTATTTTTCTCTGTCTTCTCCTAAGGACATTATCGGCTATCGCTGGCTGGCTTCATCACCTCAGGCAGCCTTTAGCCCTGTTTGTCCTCTGCCATCATGGTTTGTTAACCACGGTTCATGCCTTAGCAGGTTGTGTGAACCCCACTGGTTTCGGCATCTGCAACATTTGCGTTTAGGTGTTTACATGTTTCACATATGAAAGATAACAAATGGAGCCATTACACTGGTCCAGATTTCTTCATGGTCCGATAGCTTTGATTGGAAAGATGTTCTTTTCTGCATTAATTTAGGTGAGTATCTGCCTTCTCACATGAGTCCTCTTCAGGTGATGAGTGGATTAGAGCAGGGTTCCCCAACCTCAGCAACTTTAAGATGGGTGGACTTCAACTCCCAGAATTCCCCAGCCAGCCACGCTA